CTGCCAATGTTATTTATGGAGAGCAGTACATACAGCAAACTCAAGACTGATATGACTATGTTTTCTTGCAAAAAAAAAAAGTTGTGTTCTGTCTCTTTAACTCAAACACTTATATTATAAAACAGCTGAAATTCAGCTGGAAAAGGAGGTGAGAGATGGAACATTTCAGAAGAATTTATGTCAGAAACAAAAGAAAGCTTTCAAACTAAGAACTGGATATGAACATTGTTTAAGATAAAAAAGCAGACAAAACAGAACTAAAAGTTAACAGTGGGGCCAGTTTAAAAAAACATTATTTTCCCATGCAGAGGTTGCTGAATGATGCATGCAGCTTGTAGTATAGCCAAGGCAGGTCAAAAGAACTGGCACGGTCCTTACGTCAGACAGGAATGTCTCCATGCCACTGTGTGGAGCACTGCCCCACCGAAGCATTCTGGGAGTGAAAAGTAATGGCTGGACCAGTTCTGTAAAGTGATCCAGTATCGTCAAATGGATAGAGAGCTTTAGCTGGACATGAAGGTGTAGACTTTGCTTTAAACATCTGCTCAGCCATAAACTCATCAAGAAGTTTTGGGCAAATGATCCGGAAAATGGAATAACTTATTGGGTAAGACACTAGGTGCATTCAGACATTGCAAGAGTCAGACAGCTGTTTTTTGATGGTCATGGACACAACTGTGTTTTATGCCCGCGTGTGCCATCTGCTCCTTGCACGTGAAACACAACTGAAGGCTTCCATGGTGGCATAAATTTGCTGTGATGTGTGAATGACAGTTGCCTGAGCAAACTGGAGTTTGTACCTTTTACATGCACAGATCAATGCAGGGTTCACTCCATGCAATCAGGAACCCTGAATAAGCAGGGAGGGCTGTACACCCTTTAACTCTATGCATGTCCCAGTGAATGCATTTAAGCCTTGGGAGGAGACTGCTCCTGTGATGCTCTCCTCCCACCCATAAATCCATTCTACCTACTCAGAATGACTGAAGAAGGCTCGTATAGGACTTACCATCAACTAAGCAACAATTTGCTAATCTTTCCAGTAATCACCAATGGAATTTCATGGTGCATTCGTTAAGAATCCTACATCTGTAATTTGTGTACACATCAGAAAAAGAAAACCCCCATAAAATCAATCACTCACCGTCATAACTTCTGAACAGTCTTGCCGATAAAAGTGTGTGAATGTATGCATGCCACAGTACCTTGTGCCAAAAGAGCTCATAAAACGTCCCACTCAGCTACCCTCTGGCACAGAGAGCAGGTGAACAGCTGGGCTGCTACATCTGATCCCCATGCCCATCTTATCTGTATTATGGATGCATTTTGCTTCAAGCCTTCTTTCTTCTTGCCTTATGCTTTCTCTCCACCCCCCCCCAAACTTCCTCTGATTTTTTTTCCCCTGTGTGGGCAATGTGACTTCCCTCTCACCCATATCTTCATCTTCCACTGCCAGTAAATTTTTAGCTTTCAAAATGAAACTGTCAAACAGTTGGATGAGCAGTGTTGAAAGCTATGGCACCAGCAGTGTGAATTTTGCAACAACTTTCTTACTGCTGCATTTGGCTTGGCATCGCGTTTAACACTGCAGATGTCTTTGACAGTTTTCAGCTATGCTGAAATTCCTTACCGTGCTAGGAAGGATTTCAAGATGTCATAAGAGAATTCTACAGAACAGGAAAAAACACCATGGAATTAAGGAAACAAATGTCCATACCTTTTGAGTAGGTATTTGAATTATATCACCTGCCAGCACAATGTTTGTACATGATGACCCATAAAGGCAGGACATTTACCTATGAAAGCACACACACAAAGATTTTTTTGGCTTTATCCTTAAACTAGGAATAAGGCCTGTTGTGGAAAGAAATACTACGAGCTCCAGAAAGAAGCTCTAGGCGGGTGCCCTGGCCTTTGGCACTCAGCGTCAATTTATTGTGGTGACCTCAACAGGGTATAATGACACAGAGTCCACCATTTTCTCCAGGGGAACTGATCTCTGCCATCTGAAGAGCAGTTCTAATTCTGAGTGATCTCTAGAACTCACCTGGAGACTGGCAACAATGGCATTGTACCTGTCTGAGGTCCTACCCCTCCTCAAACCCCACCCTCTCCAGGCTCCACCCCTCAAATCTCCAGGAATTACCAAACCTGAGGGTGGAAACTCTATCTCTTTCCCAGCCAACCATTCGCCTGTCTTGATCTGCCCCTCTGACTTCAGCTTTCCATCTCCTCCCACCTCCCTGCAGCCTTCACACAGGAAAAGTACAGTCTTTCTCCACAGTGGAGACAAAAGCAGCTAACATCATTCTCCTCTCCTCCTTTTGATCTGCACAACAACCTTGTGAGATAGGTTAGGCTAATCTGGGTTGGAGATTTTGGGGGTGGAGCCTAGAGAGGATGGGATTTGGGGAGGGGAAGTACCTCAGCTGGGTATAATGCCATAGTGTCAACCCTTCAAAGCAGCCATTTCCTCCAGGGGAACTGCTCTCTGTAATTTCAGGAGCTCTCCAGGCCCTACATGGAGAATGGAAACCCTGTCTCTGAGCTACAAGCAGCCATCGTTATAACCTGTAGAATTATACAGAACATTTTCATCTGGTCCTCTAGTTTTGTCGCCACAAATATTCCTTAACAATCCTAGCTTTTAAAATAATCATATCCTATGTGGGTTTTCACTCCCAGTGAACAGGTTGCAATGATAAACTAGTATTTATTCGACACAAAGTATAATTTTCACATTAAACTCAAATTAGATGCATATTTAATTTTAAGTAACAGCTGACGGCTGGTGCAAAGATTTGGGGTGGAGGAAATGCTCCTAAAAAATCAATTTTGCATGCCACATTTCCCAGCCTTTGTGCAGTTTTTAATTATGAAGGATATTTGCATGAAAACAGGATCTTTATTAATAATTCATTTCCCACCTGAAATCTGTAATGTCACCATATCAGGAAGACATAAACGATCGTATAACACAAATGACATGATAAGCAGGATAAACAACTGATGCTGAAAATAACCAGCTCTGATTACTTAGAAAAGGAAAGAGAAATAAGAGAAATTGTAGCTTCCTGCATCTCAAGCTGATGTACAAGAACTACACAACTGAATAAGGACTTTTTTCAGTATCATCGCAAATCTTCATTAAATTTTCCTGATGTCCACAAAGTCATTTTAAATATACTAGCCAAAGCTGGGTGCTCTAAGGTAACAATCCTAAGCAGGTCAACTCAGAAGGAGTTTATGTGCCTGTGTCACACTTAGGCTGCAATTGTAAGAATACTTTCCTGGGAGTAAGCCTCAAATGGGGCTTACTCTTGGGAAAATGTTTTTAGGATCACAGCCTAAGTATGGCATAGGAGTAAGCACCTGCATGTTGTAGATGAATGCACTATGCATGTGGACCTAAGTAATTCTGTACAACATTGCAATGCCAGTGTGGACTTCCCTATGTCAACTGAAAGTACACTGTTTTTTTCTGCTGTTGAAAGCATCTGTGGATACTGGCCAGCACTGGAGCTCTGAAAGGGTGTCAGATCTCAGAAGCTAAGCAGGGTCAGCCCTGCTTAGTACTTGGATGGTAAGACCACCAAAGAAGCCTAGGGTTGCTATGCAGAGGTAGGCAATGGCAAACCACCCCTGTTTGTCTCTTGCCTTGAAAACCCCATGGAGTCGCCATACGTCAGCTACAACTTGCAGCACTTTCTACCACCTCCTTTGGATTTTAATATATTTAATTATGGAATCTGTCCCTTTAAGGACAATACAGCACAAATTCTGCAAATTAATTTACAGTGAAATGACCATCAAAATCCATGAAAACAAGACCATGTATTCTGCCATTTGATCCACAGTAATTTAACATTATCAGAGATCATTTCTCAGATTCTATGTTAAAAGTGCTACAGGGGAAAAAAATCTAGATAGGTTATCATACAGCCACTCAGCAACTCGACAATTTATGCTATGAACTTAGTATTTTATTTAACAGCTTTGAACCTCTGCTGTTAAATTTACTGCTACAAAGAGTCACTTGAAGTCACCTTTAAATCATTTCAGCGGAACTACTCCTAGTAGCAAGGATAATATTGTACTGTCTGATCTCCTGAAGAAATCTCTTATCCAGGCACTATATCTTGCAAAATTTCTTGATAGTCAGACAGCCTAAATCTAGGTGTGATTAATGAGTGGAGAGTGGACCTGGAGGACTGTGCTTCCGGCCTAACCATGATCTCTACGTGGTAATCAGACCTTATACAGTCTACATGTACATCGAACGTGCATAAAGATCTAAAAAATGGAAGGTACAAGATCCCACCTACAAGAGTGGTTAGATGTGCAAGTTCTGTACATCAGGGTTGACTGACACAAAGAGGTCGTGGGTGAGGCCGGCTCTTCCATCCAGCTCCTCTTGCTATTGTGAGGATAAAATGGAGGAGGAGAGCAACGTAAGCCACTTCAGGTCCTCATTTCAGAGGAAGGTGGAGTATAAATGAAGGAATATATAAATATTAATAAATAAACTCTATGGTTTAATTGTAGTTTTGTATGAATTCTAGAGTGTTGCAGCAATGACATGATGTCACTTTGGTTTGCACGGAAAGTGATGTTGCTACATTGGTATATATAAATATTAATAAATAAACTCTATGGTTTAATTGTAGTTTTGTATGAATTCTAGAGTGTTGCAGCAATGACATGATGTCACTTTGGTTTGCACGGAAAGTGATGTTGCTACATTGGTGCGATGCTGAATCCCTTCCCCCCCATTTTTCCCTCCATCCCTCACCAGAACAAAGGTTGGACAACAAGGTAACACCCCTGTGGGGAATGGCAACTTTATCTCTTTACTTAACACAGCAACATGCACGAGCAGGGCAGTGAATGTAAAAAGGAATATGCACTCAGTATCTGTCCAAAATTGCCACAATATGCAATGTTCCCACAAGTTTCTTAACAACGGTTTAGTCAAGTTTTCCTTTGTTTTCACTTCTTACCTTTAAAGAAAACAAAATTTCCATCACTGTTTTCATAAACTGCGTCAATACTTGGAGGCAGTCCTCTCCAGAAATATGTAATCTGCATTGGGTATCCATCCATCACCCGGTTATTTCTGACACGCCAAAACCACTGATCCTGGAAACAAACAAATGCACCTCTTGTTACACTTGGTGGCATCCAGACATACTTATAAGCCTTTCAGAGACACATTATTTAACATCTCTTTTGGACAACAATCTTGTACATTTCTGTTTTGCTATTTTTTATATTAGTGCTTGTTCTCCTAAAGACCTGAGATTTGCAAAAGGCTCAGTGCAGACATAACTCTTCTGAACTTGTAACAATTGTAGGGAGCTTGGAAATACTGCAAGTTTATGTACTACTTACCTCTTACGCACATTCCATTCCACTATCTCATAACATGGTACAGAAGGAGAGCATGTTCTTGATAGAAAGATAACACTAAGAGAAGCAGCCTCATGTTTCTCATAATTTATAGTTATGTTCTTATAGGTGGGATAGAGGCCAAGGTGAAAAATAGGAGGAATATAGTTACGTAAGAAATCACATGCTTTACAAGCAGAAGGTCTCATATTTAGTCCCCTGCATTTCTGGTTATAGATCTCAAATTGCAGATTTGGCAAAACCTACCTCTGTCAGAGGACCATTGTACCTTAGAATAATAGACAACTCTGAGCTGGATGGACAGTTGTCTGACTTGACAAAAGACAACTTTATATACTCTGTTATACTACGATATAGGGATGTCAGCCTTTAGGTGGGACCTGGGGATCCTCTGGAATTAGAGTTCATTTTGAGACTACAGAGATCAGTTCTCCTTGAGAAAATGGATGCTTTGGAGAGTGGACTCTATGACACTGTAGCCCACTGAGGTCCCTGACTTCCCTAAGCTCCACTCCCAAATCTCCAGGAGTTTCCCATTCTGGAGCTGGCAAACCTACCCCCCCCCATCCACGGCTGGTGGCCATGGGGGACCTGGCAGTCTTACCATATTATGGTATTACAGTGTCTTCTATTCTTTGGGGGGGGGGTCTAACTTGTGTCTAAAGATGTCAGAATGTAATGGCCAGTTTTCACACTAATATTTTTTAAACAAGTCATGAAAACCTCCACATAGTTTTATTAGCTTTTTTACCGTCTCTTAGAGCATCTTTCAGTTTCTCACACAGAAAAGTTTTGTGGCATTTTAGGTTACCGTTTTACACTTCAGCCACTCACAGCTGCAAGATATACAGCAGCACTTAATGAAGGACAGTAAAGCAATTCTTAGGATTAATTGTCCAACTTCCAGAATGAGAAAAGGGGGGGGGAGAGAAGGAAAAATTAAATTCAATCTTAGAGAAAAAGATACCTAGAAAGATCTAACTGAAGCAGATTTCTCAAAGTCAGCACAGATGTCAGCCTCCTAAAATTTTATTTAAGAGCAGAAGATGAGGCATGGGAGCCTTCAGAGAAGAAAGGTGAAGACTCGTTCAAAGTGGCATTAGGAAGCACGTTTTCACTCAGACAGTAATAAATGCTTGGAAGAGTTTTGCAGACTGGGCTGTTGAGGCATCATCCATCAAAGATGATGAGATGCTGTTCTGGGGGGAGATGACGCAAGTATAAGTTTCACAGGGCAAATGCCATTTTGTCATCCCCAAAGATTTTATCCCCCACCTTCCAAAAAAAGAACCATTTAAACCCCCCCACAAAAGCATCCAGTAACAAGTTGCTATTGAAACTGTGCTCTGTCAAGTCATTATAAAATCACTCTGCCACCCATGTTTGGGCTCTAACTTTAGGTAGTACAGTTTTAAAAATGAAAATCATTATATTGAAAAGAAATTGTAGGTTTTGAAGAGGTTGAGGAACTAGAGATCAAACTGCCAACATTCTCTGGGTTATGGAGAAAGCAAGGTAGTACCAGAAAAACATCTACTTGTGCTTCATTGACTACGCTAAAGCCTTTGATTGTGTGGATCACAACAAACTATGGCAAGTCCTTAAAGAGATGGGAGTACCAGACCACCTCACATGTCTCCTGAGAAACCTGTATAAGCGTCAAGAAGCAACAGTTACAACCGGATATGGAAAAACTGATTGGTTTAGGATAGGAAAAGGAGTACGACAAGGTTGTATATTGTCACCCTGCTTGTTTAATTTATATGCAGAGTGCATCATGTGAAGTGCCAGCCTGGATGAATCACAAACCGGAATTAAGACTGCTGGGAAAAACATCAACATCCTCAGATATGCAGACGATACCACTCTAATGACAGAAAGTGAAGAGGACCTAAAGAGCTTCTTGCTAAGGGTGAAAGAGAGTGCAAAAGTTGGCTTGAAACTCAACATCAAGAAAACTAAGATCATGGCATCCGGCCCCATCATTTCTTGGCAAACAGAAGGAAGAGTCTTGGAAGCAGTGACAGAATTCACGTTCCTGGGATCCAAGATCACTGCAGACGGTGACTGCAGGCATGAAATTAAAAGACACCTGCTCCTTGGGAGGAAAGCTATGGCAAACATAGACAGCATAATAAAAAGTAGAGACATCACCCTGGCAGCAAAAGTCTGTATGGCCAAAGCAATGGTATTCCCAGTAGTCATGTATGGCTGCGAGAGTTGGACCATAAGGAAGGCTGAGTGCCAAAGAATAGATCATTTTGAATTATGGTGCTGGAGAAGACTCTTGAGAGTCTCTGGGACTGCAAGGAGATCAAATCAGTCAATCTTAAAAGCAGGGCTATTTTTGGGCAGGAACAAAGTTCCAGCTGGCTCCCGAGTTGGCCGCGCCCAGCAGGAACTCATTAGCATAATAGGCCACACCCAACAGCAGAAACTCATTAGGACTGGCTACATTAGGGGTGTGTGGCCTAACATGCAAATGGTTCCTGCTACAAAAAAAGGCCGTGGGTTTTGACAACAAACAAGGTAAACAGAATAAGAAGCAAAAGTTGGGTGTGGCTGGATGACCACACTTCTGGTAACATGGGGGTGTGGCCTAATATGCTAATGAGCTACTGTCAGGGGTGTGGCCTAATATGCTAATATGTTGGGTGTGGCCTATTATGCTAATGAGTTCCTGCTGGGCTTTTTCTACAAAAAAAGCCCTGCTTAAAAGAAATCAACCCCGACTGTTCCCTGGAAGGCCAGATACTGAAGCTGAAGCACAAATACTTTGGCCACCAAATGAGAAGGGAGCACTCACTGGAGAAGACCCTGATGCTGGGAAAGGCTGAAGGTAAAAGAAGAAGGAGACAGCAAAGGATGTTCATAAGATGTATTAAATGTCATTGTCATTTTTATCAGTATTTGTTTGATGTATTTCCTTGTAACTGTGATCCCTATTTGGTTCACTTATTTCCTCCAGGGAAACTGATCTCTGTAATCTGGAGATCCACTGTAATTTGGGTGCAACTCCAAGCCTTACCTTGAGGTTGGTAAACCTATGTAGGAATAAAGTATAATGCTGGAGCCAGGAAAGTCGTGGCACAGAGCATTTTAAAAATGATTATCTCCTGGCAGTGACACCAGCAATGAAATAGCACTTCTTACCTGCCACTGTATCAGCGCACTATTGTCAAGTAGAGGTAGTATGGACAGTGAATGGTTTGAGGCAACCTGAGCTGTCTCTGTCTAGATTGACTGAGATACCTAATGTTAACTGTGATGACACTGCAACACACTTAGCAGAACATCACTCGCACTCAGTTTGATTTGCAGGCTGCCATTTCAAATACACAGTCAGAGCTAGAAGCATTGGTTTCATCTTGTTTTGTCCACTCTACCCCATCATATTTATCAACTGGCAGTAACACCTGCCTAGCATCCAGAGTGGGGTGGCAGTAAAACATTCTGCACAAAGCTGCTCTTGTTGACTTTGAAGGAGGGAGTATAGCTCAATGGTAAGGCATGTGCAGATGATCCCTTGTATTTCCAGTCGTGAAACAAATGTTGGATAGTAAGACCACCCCCAGTCAGAGTAGGCAATAGTCTGCAGCAGCCTGACTCAGCATAAAGAACACACACACACACACACACACACACGAAGGAGGAGGAGATTGGATTTATACCCCACCCCTACTCGAAGGAGTCTCAGAGCAGTTTACGATCACCTTTCCCTTCCCCTCCCCACAACAGACACCCTGTGAGGTAGGTGGGGCTGAGTGAGTTCCCTCAAGAACTGCCCTTGATAGAACAGTTCTGAAAGAACTTTTAACTGACCCAAGGTCACGCCAGCAGTTGCATGTAGAGAAGTGGGGAATCAAACCTGGTTCTCCCAAATTAGAGTCCGCTCCTAACCATTATATAGCTGGAAGGGACCTCCAGGGTCATCTAGTCCAACCCCCTGCACAATGCAGGAAATGCACGAATATCTCCCCCTACTCCCAGTGACCCCTGCTCTATGCTCAGACTCTATGATACATCTATGTATATGTGTGTGTGTATGTGTATATATTTCATTCATTCGTTCATTTCAAAACACCTGTGCTTCCAGACCAACTGCCCTGTGTAGATGAGGTGTTTACTTGCAGATTCCTTTACCAGAGCCTCAGATACTGGTCTAGCTTCTTCAATGGGATCCAAATAAACTTATACAAAACCATATCCAAGAGAAAAACTAGAAGTTGACCTGTCAAGAATGAAGCTAGCAAAAACATTTCCCTGTTCAAAACTCTAAAGTTATTGAAGGTTCCAGCAGACATGCTGACGGCACTAGTATTTTGTAAAATCTATCAAACTACACGTTACCTGTCGCAAAACTATCTAATCCATCTTCCTGACAACCACCCTTTCTGAATATAACCCTCAGCACAGGAGAAAATCACAGAGCCAGTGTGTTCTGCTAAACACAAAGAACCAGAATCCAATTTTATCGTGCCAGGTATTTCTTTCTTAATCACCAGGGACAAAAGATCCGTTGAAACACTCTGGCAGCATGACACTGAAAGCCTCTAATTTTCTGTTCAAGGTACTACATATGCATCAATGTCTGGGTGTGAACTAAGGACCTGCAGAATAGACTTCACGCTAATATTAGGCTTGGTGGGCCAGGTCGCTCTTACATTTTCGAGAATAAAAACAGAGGGCAATTTAGCACAGCAGTTCTGTCTTGATGTGTACATAAAGCT